TCATAATACTGTAAAACTGGTTTATTTACCAAGACATCTTTTAGTCTTCTAAATGCTTTTTCATGTGTTGCATTCCAGTTCCAGATAACTTGTTTTTTCAACAAATCTCTTAAACATGATGTCAATTCTGATACATTAGGTATAAATCTAGAAACATATGTAATCATTCCTAGGAAAGTTTCTAATTCTTTCACATTTTTTGGTGGTTTTATATCTAGAATAGCCTTAATTTTGTCTTCATCTGGTTTTAAACCATCTTTAGAAAATATATGTCCCATATATTTCACTTCATTCAGCCCAAATTTACATTTATTTAAATTAAATTTAACATTCTTTTCTCTGGCTCTGTCCAACAACTTCTTTAATCTTGAATCATGTTCTTTTTTATCTTTACCCCAAACTAATAAGTCATCTATATATATTTGAACTCCTTCTAAATCACTAAAAATTTCAGAAAAACTTCTGTGGAAAACTTCTGGTGATGAACTCAGTCCATATGGCAACCTCAAAAAAACAATATCTACCAAACGGAGTGTTAAATGTAGTAAATTCACAACTTGAATCTGACAGTTTAATTTGCCAAAATGCTTTGTTTGCATCTAAAATACTAAAGACCTTTGCATTTGTCATTTGAGATGAAATTTCTTCAAAGGTTGGTATGTGATAATGTTCTCTCAGTATATTTTGGTTAAGGTGCTGAGGATCTAAACACACTCTTAAATTTCCATCCTTTTTCCTTACTACCACTAATGAATTCACGAATTCTGTTGGTTGGTTAACTTTCTTTATAATACCATCTTTTTCCATTCTTGCTAATTCCTTTTTTAATGGATTTAATAAGCTAAGTGGAATTTTCCTACAGGGAATAAGGAAGTGGCTAAGTGGAATTTTCCTACATTTTACCAACAGCTCCTGGTTTTAATTTAATATGATATGTATATCCAGTTAAATTCCCAGTTCCTTTAAACAAATCTTGATATCCTTTTAAAAGTTCTGGTAACTTTTCATTAGAATCAGGATTTACTGTACAAATCCTTTGTATTAGGTTTAATTTTTGCAATGTAGGTAACCCTAAAATAGCTGGAACATTTTTATCACATGCTACGACTTGAAATTCTATTTCATCCTTGTTCCCTTTTGATGTTTCACATAATAATTTACATTTTCCAACTACATCAATTGTAGTACCATTGTAATTATTTAAAGTGACTTTTGATTTAGTCAAACATTTCTCTCTTAAATTTAATTGTTTAAATTTAGGCAATGGTAGCACATTACACTGAGCTCCAGTATCCAACTTAACAAATAAATATTTAGATATGTTTACTTTTAGTTTTTCAAACCATTCGGTTTTATTTTTAGAAAATGGATTTATATCTTCTACTGACCCTAAAATATATTCATTACCATTATTATGTAACTCATGCTCTAAATTATTCTGTACAACATTAACATTTTTAAAAGTGCACATTTTAGAAAAGTGATTTTTCTTTTTACAGTACAAGCAAATCTTATTATAAGCAGGACAGTTGTATAACTTATGAAAAGTTCCACATTTTCTACATGGTTTTGGATTATTGTACTTATTTCCTTGATAGTTTGAAGAAGATTTAGTACTTTGTTTTACATGATAGTCTTTCTTACAAGGCTGACTTTTTTCCTCTGAAGGTCGAAATTTATTACGTTTGATAGCTTCTATTTTATTTTCTTCAGTTAAAGTTTTCAGCTGAAGTTCTGCTAATTCAGAAGCTTTACACATTTTAATACATTTCTCCAATGTTAACTGATCTTCCCTTAATAATCTGTCTTTGAGATTTTTATTTAGAATTCCACTTACTATTCTATCCCTTATTAAACTATCTTTTAATTCTGCAAATCCACAGTTGCTACTTAATTTCTTTAAATCGGTTAAGAAATCATCAAACGATTCACCTACATGTTGTGTTCGACAGAAAAATATATGTCTATCAACACTTTCGTTTGCTTTCGGTATGCAAAAATTTTCGAAAGCTTCAATTACTTTGTCAACATCCTTCTTATCTTCTTCACTTAAATTAAAAGTATTAAATTTTTCAAGTGCTTCTTCACCAATTATATGCAATAAAATAGCTACTTTAATTTCAGGTGATTTAGTAATACCACCAGACGCTAACATATAAATTTGGAATTTTTGTTTCCATTTCTTCCAATTTTCGCCTAAATTTCCTTCGAAACTTAGATTACTTGGTGGCTTTAATCCATCCATATTTAATTTAGGACATTAAATAGTTTATATATACGTATTTTTAGCCACTTCCAATAAAAATAAACAACTCACTTACCAGCGATATAAGTTTCGATTTCACAGTAAACAACTTCCCATGATGTTTTTGTTTAGAACATCTTTACCGAGGCTGCATGGTTCTTGAAAAAAGATTTTCTTTTTTTAATCAACCACGGGCTGCGCCATGTGTTGTATTTTATATGTGTTGGCTACTGCTCAGTTATGATTACAAGTTGTACACAAACATCGTTTATTCTACATTACTCATCAACTATTCTATATTACAGTTATGGTTAAGATAATAATAGATACAGTTACAGTTACATATATAACACCTAGCAGGAGGAACAAGGCCAGATTTAGCTTTTGCTACTACTTACATGAGCCAATTCAATAATTGCCCAAGCAAGGAACATTGGGCTGGTGTACAACATACCCTTCGTTACCTAAAACAGACCAAGGAATTAAAGCTGACTTTCCAAAAGACAGGAAAGAATTTGGAAGTGTTTTGTGATTCTGATTGGGCTGGTGATAAGATTGACAGACGATCAGTAGTTGTTATGTGGTGCTACTAGCAGGTGGAGCTGTCTCATGGAGCAGTAAGAAACAACAGACGACTGCATTGTCAACAGTTGAAGCTGAGTACCTCTCAATGTGCCACGCAGCCAAGGAAGTACTGTGGTTCCAAAATTTTTTTAAAGATATTGTGGGAGAACATTTTTTAAACATTCCACAAAGCATATTTGTTGATAATCAGGGTGCCATTTCTTTAGCCAAAAACCATGTCACTTCAGAGTGTAACAAACATATTGAACTCAGGCATTTTTTCTTGAGAGAAAAGGTTGAAGAGAAGTTGTTAAACTTTACGTATGTGCCTTCCAGTTCAAATGCAGCAGACATGTTCACAAAGAGTGTGCAAAAGAAAGCCTTGTTCAATCAAAGCTTCTGTGTAGGACTGAGGGAAATTTAATCAAGGAGGAGTGTTGCAAATAACTTTTATTTTAATTATATTTCCCATTTGTATTTTACAACATGTGTGGCAACACGCTTTTTATATTTTTCTCTTGGCAACGTTTTTCTTAGTTGTTGTCACTGTTTTACTTTAGCATGTAGAATTTACTGTACTTGTGCCATTTTGCGTTTCAATATATGTTAATTTAGATGAATCTCTGCTTATTTATTTGTCTCCATTCCTAACGTTAGACTTCATCAAAATCAGGTCTTTAAAAGTACCCTCCAACCCAATTACACTTGGTCTGGTACCGAATTACACTTTCCCATTTGTCTGTAGTCCATATCGGTATTGCCAGGATATAGCTCAGAACTCGCGATGTCTCCTGATTTATTTCCCGTCTGACGTAGAAATGCGCGAACCGGTTGCAGAGGGAATTTAATTGGTAAGAAGAGGGGGTGACCATGCGTTACAAGAATGAAATCCAAACACTAGTTACAGACCAAGAGAAGCAGACAGAGTGAGTTAAAAATCCTGCAAATGTGAAGTGAAAAAATGTTTTGTTTAAAAAGTACACATATGTAAAATACATTTTATTAAATTTTTACAAATAAGAAAATAGATAAAATAAGAAGAATAGGTGCAGTATATACAAAAATGATTAGATTACATAGGGAAATTAGAGTCACAGAGGTGGGCGGCTGGTGGTATAATATTTCTATCCTCGACGAAAAGAGTATAACCAAAAACTCTGAATTTTTCCATGTGTGGACAATTTAAAACATTATTAAAAAAAATTTCATAAACTCTGTGCAGAAAGGTCTGGACTTTTTCTATTTTGAGGTCACGATGGAGCATATCGTTGGAGACATAAAAATTAACGTTAGTGATAAGTCTTAAAAACTTATTCTGGATTATTTGAAGCTTGTTAAGATCACTCTTTGAGATTACTGCCTAGGCTGGGAAAGCATATGAGAATATAGGATGAATTATTGTTAAATTTAGAAAATTTACCAAGCAGTGTCATGAGACTTTTCATCGCATACATAGTTTTTCTTTTGACATTCTTAATGTGTTCGGACCGAGTAAATTTTGATTAATTATCACTCCAAGCTAGTTGGCCTTCTTGACGATTGGAACTTCTGTATTAAAAAGTGTGAGTTTGACAGTGGTGCTCTGGTAGTTTTCTTATTAATTACGAGTAGCTGAGATTTTGGAACGTTCATGGCAATACGCCAATTCTTACACTATTGTTCGATGTAAGGTATCATTACTTGTAGTTTGTTTACAGGACTTTACTGCAATTGCTGTAACATCTTATGTGTATGTTAATTCCTATCAGTGACTTTGGAAAATTAGCGACGACAAAATAGATACAAAATTTGTCCTAGGATATAAGCTTGGGCTACACCGCATTTAGTCCTCTTTGCTCTGAAATAGCTTGATCAACATTAACAAAAATTCTCTATTTTTGATAAAAGAATAAATAAGGGAGGCATTTCTCTTCTGAAGTTTTTGCAAATAAGTTTGAAGATAAATAAGCCCCTCATGCCAGACGCGATCGAATGTTTGTCTGGACCACCTTAGTGGTAAGTACATAATTGTGCAAACTTTTTTTTTTCTCCGATTGCTTAATATTGCCACTCTGGCAAAAGAAAAATCGCATGCGAAGAGTTTCTTAGGTTTCGCTCAGTATCGCAAATGATATCTAGTTGGCCTTGAACGATCTCGCCACTACTTAGCTTGGTTTTTCGTCCTGCGGGCAGAAAGACTTAGCGAGTGCAAACCAAAACGTCTGTCTATTTTGTTAGTGTGTTTGTTTAGAAGATACGTGTAGTAAATATTTTCTGTAAAGCTGATTATTCGCACATATATTTTCTGGAACTGTACGTGCCTTGTTATCATTATGGCTGAAGCATCAGCTGTTGAAAATAATATCAAACAGCGACGAGTAGCTTTTATAACTGGTATTACCGGTCAGGTATGCTTTTTTTTTTTTTAATATTTGTATACAGGAAGTAAAATAATTTTCCTGTATGCTGGTATTTTATGTGTGAAATTACACAACAAGAGACCATCTAATGCAGAATTATTAAAAAATTCAAAGAAAAATCTGGTACAGTTTGCTTACTGTTTAAAGCAAAGAGGAAGGTAATTACAATGATGTCATTTCAACTAATAGCAAATGTAAAATCAGTAAATCGTTTGGTGAAACTGTACAACTTGGGTCCCCTTTAATATTTTAAGCGCCAAGAAGCCGTGATTCCTAAATGCCTGTCACCCAAAATAACGCCGAAAGCGTATGTTGCAAAAACAACAGAAGTACTCACATTGTATGTTCATGGCTATGTCTTATCGTCAGTGTCATACAATTCTTAATACAGTTTGTGTAATCCTGCGATGGATCCTTTTCCTCCAGATTAAAAGCTTCCAAAAAAAATTATCTCCAGCTTGATATGGCTTCGTATAATGTCAGTAGTGTTGGTATGGAGTTAGTTTCGAGGTCTTTATGCATCAGAGAATGATTCAGTAACAAGTGCTTGAAACTTTGATTACAGAACCAACCACAGAGTTCTAAAAAGTAGGAGTTAATACCCTTCTCTTATCAGGACTGGATTCAGACATACATGTTGTAAGTGTTTACATACATATCTGACACATACAAATACACGTCATGCATACATACATTTCTGAATTCAGTCCTGATAACAGAAGAGTACTACAAAGTATGTTTCAAGTGATCCTCATCACTGAAAAAAATGAATATTTTACCAGACATACTTCTTTGTAGAAGTGATAGAATAACTATCATTTAGAACCAGCCAGCAAATGAAACCCAGCTCTCAATTAATGGCAATTAAAATTTCAATAATTCAAATTATGTGATTTGTAGTATGTGATATACATACTTAAACGAATATGACCAACTACTTATTTAAAAACAGTCATCTTTGATTATGGGAAACTGGAAACCTGAATTAGTAAATTTTAACCAGGATATTTTGAATCTCCATAAGCAACACAGGAGCTATTCTTTTAGGCCAAATAATTGGTTTCGGTTGAAATAGCCAAATAATTGGTTTCAGTTTAGAAACCTGAATTAATAAATTTTGACCATGATTTTTTTAATCTGCTTAAGCAGCATACATGAACTAGTCTTTTAGTCTTCCATAACCAATGATAATTGTTTTTAAATAAGTATTTTGTAATATTCGTTTAAGTAAATGGAGGAACATATATGATATGTGGAATCATAGATGTTCACAGACCATTTTTTGGGGGTAGAAATGAATAATGAATTTTTTTAATTTTAATTTTTAGGATGTTCACAACTAGATTATTAAACATGGAATCACATCTGTACAAACTTAGTTTTACTCATATGTCAATAAAAATATACAGTTTTTACTCTGAGAAGGCAAAGTTTCCATTTAATCATCCCATTCTTATGGATACTCACATGTATTTCCCACTTTGATAGTTGCTATAAATTGGAAATTAGAAGTGAATTTTTTTTTTTTTTCCAATTCTTGACATTGAATACTTTTTAACAAAAGCCTCATAGAAACTTTAAGAAATCTGAGTTAAATATATTTTTTTATCTCCAGCGTGCGAAACTGTCTATCGGAAATTCTAAAGATATGCTTATTTTAAAAATTATTTTGTGACATTGCTGTTGAACTGTATTTTATGGTTTAAGTGCAGAGAACAGGATATTTAATAAATAAAGGTAACACACAAAATGTTAAAAAAATGCCCCTTTGGACATAATTTAGAATCTGAAACGTTTCTTTTTCTTTTTCTTTTTTTTTTTTGTATTAAGATTTAAGAACATTTCAAATGTTGTTATTATTGAATGCTAGTTTTCCTCTTTTAGGTTAATGGAATTCATCGTTGAGTAGTTAGTAAGAACTTTTAATTTCACTTACGGGTGTAATTTTCAACAGCCAGGTGTTGAATGTGCCCATCTATGGAAAATAAGGCCTCCACATAAGCTAGTTTTCTTAAGAAAAATCTGCACTTTGGCAGCTTTTCTAAAACATGTTTTTCTTGCATGTTTTGTCATATTAAATTTCCTTTACATGCATTCATGTATTCTTTAATGTGTTAAAGGAACTTAATTTTTTAAACTGAATATAATGTTCAAACAAATTCTTTTTATTGAATATGTTATAGATCAGGGGTGGTCAAGCTCCTTGACAGTCCAAACCATTTTTCAAAATTTGAAATTTTTCATGAGCAGCAATTAAATACGTATTTAAAAGGTATGCAAAAAAGGTATTAAAATTGTTTTTACAGAAATTATATTTATTGAAAACATATAAATAAAAGTACAAAATATGTGTATTTAATTTAAATATTAAAAATTAAACACATTTATTTTACTTCTTGATAATTCTTTAAAATTTGGTGACAGCATGTCTCAGTAGTTCTTTGAGATGCTGCTTAGTTAATATTGATCGGTGTTTGGATTTTACAAATTTTAAAGTGGAATAAAAGGATTCACATAAGTACGTTGTTCCGAATATTGGAATAGTTCGACAAGCAGGCTTTTTTAATTCAGGATACTTCGATTCTGGTATGAATTTCCAAAATTCAGTAATCAGTGTCGATTTATATTTTAACTGTAGAGCTTGATCTTCTTGCATCTCTATTAATTCTAATTCTCCAGATGCTTTTTGGGTCATAATTATATTGGAAATGGAAAACTCACCTTGAATTATGTTAATTTCAAATGTATCCACGAAAAAAAAACAAGAGACGATGGACGGAAATGAAATTTGTTACAACGTTGCACTTAAGACTTTCATATTTGTTGTCTATAATTTAAAGGACATTTTGAAAGATATACGGAATGATAATAATTTTTAAAAATATAATAACACAAAAATGAAAAGGAACTGGGGTGCATTTATCGAGAACCACAAATAATCCTTCAAAGAGCTGCATGTGGCTCGCGAGCTGCAGGTTGGCCACCCTTGTTGTAGATCTTCATACTGCAAATACTTTTTTTTCCTCCTTATTATATTGTATCCCAAATTGTAAGCTTTATTTTTACATTTTCTTTTTAGGATGGCTCATATTTAGCTGAATTTTTGGTAGATCGTGGCTATGAAGTACATGGCCTGATTAGGCGATCAAGTTCTTTTAATACAGGAAGAATACAGCACTTGTATAAAAATCCTTTAACGCATCGAGAAGGGTGTAAGTTGTTTGATGCATTTAATTAATATGTATTCTTGTCAATTTTGACATATTATAAAGAAATAACTTGACTTCAGTATTTTTGGCTGTTATGATTAAATATTAAATTTCTGTCAAGAAATCTTGATATGTATTGTATCATACATCAAGATATTTATACATAACCTAGAATTTCTGTTAATGACATCATCTAATTTTTTATTTCGTTATAGAGTTGTTAGGTTATTTTGAAGCAGGAGAGATGAAAAAAGGAGTAATGCCCTCGCCGGGACTCGAACCACGGAGCTCTCAAATACGTGTTGAGTGTGCTGACTACACCACAAAGGTATGCTAAGAAGGAGAGAGAAATACCTTACTCCCCCTTTTAAAGGGCGACTGGGGATTAGGGGACCCATTCATCAAATTCCGGTGGTGGAGAATAATCATCCACCATCTTTTTTAGTTTGGGCACCACTGTAGAGTCATTAGGTTATCTCGAAGCCAAAGAGATGAAAAAAGGAGCACTGCCCTTGCCGGAACCCGAACCACAGATCTCTCGAATACGCTTCGAGCGTGCTGACTGCTATGCCATGAAGGCATGCTAAGAAGGCGGGAGAAATACCTTAAACCCGTTAGAATTAATTTTGCAAAATACAGTAGCCATTAGTACAGTGTTTTTTTTTTCTTTATTCCCACTAAATCTTATCATATTAAATATAATTGTGACTACTTTTGGGGGGGGTATAGTCTTATTAAATTGTCTATCATATATGTCTTTAGTGTGGCATTTGGAAATTAACCTATGAGAATCAAACAAGTTTAACATTGTGAATTTGGCGATTTATAAGTAACAACAGTGGCTTGCTTTAATAAGTGTTGGGTAGTGAGAGTAATGATTGCATAGTAGAATTTACATACTATGGAAAACACTAGATGTAAGTGAATATGAGATTTAATGAGCTTTTTCATAGATTTAACAGAATAGATGAACATATGTATGTCAACCTGTGATAATGATGAAATAAATAAGCATTAATTTGATCATGTTAACTGTTGTAGCATATCTATTGGGTCCACTTAGCATTATATCCATAGGCAGGCGCATGACTACGAGTCAATGTATTGCTATGTGGAAGATGGTGGCCAGGACTTGATTCTCACACTTTGCTGGACTTCTTTTACCATTGATATCTTCAGCAGCTACATCACTCAGCATTCCGTGGCTTGAAACAAGACTCCATGATGGCGAGGGCTACAGCTACAACCACAGACACGATGATAGGCACAAGAACAGCATGTAGCTATGGCTTCTACTGGGCATTACATACATTTACATGTTTTCATTTCTAGTATTCCACAGACACAAAGGGGAATGCAAATATCCCAACAATAAGAAAACATCAATTTTTTAATCTGATTAAGGACCATTTTCTTGTTATTGCAATATTTTAAATATTTAGGTTTTAATTGTACTATGTGCTGTTGTGGAAGCATATACACAAATTTGGGATATGTCATGACAAGAAAAATAACTTTATGATGTTTTATATCATTCACTTTGCATAAATAATTATGATGCAAAAATTCTATTCTAGAAGGGTTCTCCTCACTATATTCAAATAATAAAATAACCAATTATTTTGGAAGGGATGAATGAATTGAAAGAGTAGGAAACAGCTACATATACAGTCAAAAGTCTAATCCAGACTCATTGGGACTTTGGCCATTCCGGATTTATCGGTTTTTCCGGATTATAGATCATCAGTTTAAATCTGGTAAGATGGCATGCAGAAATTATAAAATTAAAAATATGAAACCGTAATTTATGAAATAAAGAGCAATTATGATCTAAAGGGTATCAAAATTTACAAAAAAAAAAAAAAAAAAAAAAAGCTTAATATTTATTTGTTTACTTTAGTAAATATATCTTTCAATGTAAGTTGTTTAAGTTGCTTCGTTTTTTGTGCTAATACTTTCTCTTTAATTCTATAAACAGACATAATTTCTTGTTCAGTTACAAAGTTCCATTGTCAAATCCTGTAATTTCTGTGTCGAGAATACCGACTAACTTGTCACCCGAAATTTTTTCGTTTTCAATAATGTTCTGTATTACTTTCTTCACTATCGGAAGCGTGCATGGGTAAACTCTTTGTTATTCTTGGCCTGTTTTTTAGTATATAGCATGCTTTTTTTAGTAATATTACTGTAGTCAGATTTTTATTGGCAAGCAGAACTGAGATTATGAAAAACTGCTGAGAAAAATGAACCAAGATGATGTGCTAACAAAAAGTACTAAACTTCTTATATTGCTGCTAATGTAATTTTGTAGTACAGTAATTTTTAACTGCTGTTATTATTGCTATTTATGTTTATGTTAACATATTGTAATTATTGTAAATAAAAATTTAGCATTTATCTGTAGTTAAAGCGCATTCAACTTAGAATATAACTTGCAGGCTTATAGTACATACAGTGTGTTTATTTAATAACTGCATTCCAAAAAATTAGAACATTAAAGTTTTGTAAATTAATCTGCATGAAGAATGCCTGCTCATAAGTTTGTCACGAAAAAGTTCAAATACTCTCAAGAATAAGTGAAGTATTGAGAAAGTATTAATGTAAGTGTGTCTGCTGTTTCTTTCACAAGCATTGCTTCAATGCCAGAGGAATTTTTCACTGCTAAGCCTAAATTCGCAAAATCATGGAAAGGTGTTGTTTAATAATGTAAATATGTATAACAGTATAATAATATATATTAGTATATATGATGTACAAGCTTTATATATTTTTTGTTTACATGCTTTATATACTTAAGTTTATTTTGTTTGTTGAAATATTTTTATTTTACGCATTGGTTTTTCTTTTTCAGTATTTATTCACCTGTTAGTGACTTTTGACATTATGCAGTTGACAACTAAACCATTTTGCTTAAAATTCATTTTTAGTGTGATCAGTTTCAAAGCAGGGATCTAAACACAGTCCTATGTTATAATCATTGCATATATAATAGCTTTGAGGCTCTCTTTGAGGCTGTGACGAGCATTCTTCCATGAAATTACATGGACAAGACAACAATAATAGCTCATTTGCCTTTCTGGAAGATTTTAAGGGAGTGTCATTAAACAAAGCACTGCCATCACACTTTCTTAGAAGTTTCATTTCAGCAAAGCACTTCAAGCCTATCTTTGAAAGTAGTTAAGTTCTTTTTCTGCAAAACCAACATCTTGCAATTTTTTATTTAGGTGGTGAAAATTTTTGGTTTTTCCTCTCCTCTTTATTACAGTCCCACAAGTGTTTTTTCTAAGTCTAAAGAAGTTCATCCAACAATGATGCAGTAATGAAAAAATGATCAAATATAACTGGTACCCTTGACCAGAAAGTTCTTGAAGTAGAGATGTAACTCTCTCCCTACATAATCCTGAAGTTTCTTTCCCCATATAAATGATAAAGTTACAGATATAACCTGATTTAGATTAACATAATTTGTTAAAAATTTTTGGTGCTACAACACAAGGTATATTCAAAATAGAAATATTTCATATGCACAAGGTATATACTTCAATGGCCCTTCTTGATTAGAAGTTAGACTGCAAACCTGAACACCCAATGCTGTGGGGGGGAAGAAGTCTCCCATAACATTCATCAGTAAATACCATGTGCACATTTAAAGAAACACCCAGTGCTCTAGCAGGGGAAAAAATATTCCATAAAATTCATCAATAAATGTCACATGCACATTTAAAGAGTTGTCAGGAAGCTTACAAGTCGAGAATGTACCTTTTGCCTTATATTTATGTAATTAAAATCCAAGTGGTGCAAGTCATCTTTATCTCATTTTGAGCAGAAGGTCAAATCTATCTATGGTCTCAAATCCTATGGACATCTTGTGCCAAAAATATTAGTTTCTAAAATGTTCCAAAACTCGAACAGAAATGCATGATGGGTGGGGTGGACAAATAAATGCTCTGTCAACACCAGTGCTAGTAACACATTGCCAGCCAGTAAATGAGTATGTTTCATACTGGCATATCAGTCATATTTGCGTGACAATCAAAATGAAATTAATGTTTGAGCTCACTGTAACATTATCAGCTGGATGTGACTGTCTCATTATTAGAGCGTACAGTATGCATTATGATTATTTTTATGCTGGTATAAAAATCTTTACATTCAATATTATATTATTCTTTACTGGCATAATGTTAAATCTATTAAGATCATACAACATTTATATATATATATACATATATGTGGGATTTTAAATCCATAATTTTAAATCCTCAATATTTTTCCTTGCGCGCTGTCTAAATTTTAGCTGTTAGCATGAGTGAAATTGATAGAATTCTCGCCACTTTGTTTTATGAAATGTAAGATGTTGTTTTATAGATGTAAGATGATATAGATATTGTATTAATAGAGGAACTATATTATAGATGTATTAATGTTTTATTAAATGTGCTTTGTTTGAACATGAATTGTGATTTTGAAACTAAAGAACCCACAAAATTAGTGTCAGAATTGGGATCAAATTACAAGCAACAAATAGAGGAATATGAAGCAATATTGGATGAAAGAAGAAATACTTCTGTTAATAGTGAAATCGATGCATCAACTGCTCGAATTTTCAACCACTCTTCTTATGCTGCTGTTGATGAAGATCCATAAGCTAAAACAAAATATTATTAAGTCATCAATTCAATTTCCATTTTCACAGTTTTCAAATGCGTATATAAATTTTAATGATATTGAAAGCTTGATTTCTAAATTTGATGGTAATCCGTATAATTCGGTTTACAAATTTATTGAAAACTTTGAGGATGTATCTAATTTGTTAAAACTAAATGAATTACAGAAACTGATATTCGCCAAAAGATCTTTAACTGGTAAAGCAAAATTATTTATTGAAAGTGAAACAAAAATTAATTCGTGGAATTCAGTTAAAACTTTATTAGTAAATGAATATGGTGTTCAGTATAACTCTGCTCAGCTACATGAATTATTATCGAAACGTAAAATGCAGG